TTATTTTATTTTTTGGCGGAACTGGGGATTGAACTCGGGCCCTTGCACTTGCCAGGGAAGTGCTTATTCCACTGAGCCATCTCCCCGGCCCCAACAGTGTGCTTTTTAAATAGCTTTTTTCTGAATTCTGAATTGATCCTGAAGAGAAATACAAAGAAGCGGTATAAGATGGGACCTTACCAAAAAATCCTTTTTTAAAAAATCTTTTAATTCTTTTCTTCTTTTTTTCTCCTCTTAGTTCAGCCTTAGAAAAGCTTGAAATTACAGAGGAGGAGTTCCCCCAGGTGAGTGTCTGTGGTATGCAGGAGGGGATGGTTTTTGGAGAGTATAAAAGAAATCACTGACAGAATAGAGCTCAAAGTTAATGGGGTGGGTGGTTTTTTGGTTTGTTTGTTTGTTTGTTTGTTTGTTTGTTTTTTCCGGAACCGGGAATTGAACTCAGGCTCTTGCACTTGCTGGGGAAGCGCTTATTCTAATGAGCCATCTCCCTGGCCCGATGTGTTTGTTTTTTAATACAAGGTAATGGACAAGGTTAGAGGGCCAGGGTGTCCCCCTACAACTTGCTTTTTATAAATTTTATGATTTAAAAAAAAAAAAATTGAGGCTGGGAAGATGACTCAGTGGAATAAGTGCTTCCCTGGCAAGCGCAAGGGCCTGAGTTCAATCCCCGGTTCTGTGCGCCGCACCCCCCATATGATTTTGGTAACTCATCCTTAGAAAATGAGGATGAAATTAAAGTCTTGACTTTGCTACCTAGGTTTAAATTAACTTGAATCTCATTTCTGCCTCCTAATCTCAAGCTCCACATCCTTAATTTTACATCCTTTCCCTTTTCAGTGAGCAACAAACCTCAGAAGATCTGAAACAAGACCCTACTGTCTCTGTGATATCAAGATGTCCGCCCTTGCCCAGGAATGCTCAGTTTTCTTCTTGGTCATCAAAAACAAACAAAAAAGGAGTTTAATATGGAGCTAGAGGAGCTCTCCATCTCCTTCATGAGGAAGAGGCCGTTCTTCCTCATCTTCTGAGTGGGCATTAGTGCCTTGGATGATTGAGGACAGCAGCAGTCTTTCTACTCCAGAGCCAGCTGGCACAGAGTTTTGGCAGGCCAGCCTTGGTTTCCACAGTTGAATTTCTTCAAACTTCTATTGTTTGTACTGGAAGTGGTTTTCCTCCCTTTGTGCACCTTTCACCAGGAGCTGGACTCTTAATTTCCTCAAGATAGACTGGCTGGCACACGATCCCCCTCCTTCCCTCTGGTCCCTGGAGGAAGACCCCTGGCATTGTTGTAAAGGGTTTTGGGGGAATAAGGGTATTTAACCATCTTAGCCTTCTCCTTTTTTCTTTAAAAAGGACAAGAAACGGAGAGCACACAGCACAGTTTCAAGCCAGTTTAAATCAGCTGCAAAAGTCAGATACCTGCCAACAGGGTTCCCACAGATGAGCCCTGGTGTTTGTGAAACAGAGACGTGGTGATTGCTCTGCCAGCAGCAGCAGCTTCTCACCTCCTCATAGGATGATGAAATTCTTAAGGCTGAAGGAATGAGATGCATGGGACATGGGGTCATCTTTGCCCCTTTGTTAAAACAAGGGGCTGCCATGGGCAAGGGGATTAGAGATCTTAGGCAAGACCCCACTCATTGTCAGGCCATAATGGTTACTAATACTTCGCAGTTTGATATGTATTCTAGGCATTTTTCTAAATATGAAGAGTTATCAATAGATTTTGGACCATTCTTCAAAGGAGACTTTGTTCGTCCCATCTTCCCAAATGGTGTTCTGCTATTTGTGGAGCTGAGGTAGACAGAAGTACCTATGTCTCTTGAATAGGCAGTGAGGCAAGAGAAGGTTCTCTTCAGCTCATGGGGGCTGGCAGACACTTACCTTGGTGACTTCATAGCCATGTCTATGTCCTGCTCCCACTCTTTGTGCAGGAATTTGGAATTGAGACCCATAAGCCCTCTCTTGTCCATCTCTGAATTATTGTCCATCCAGTCTGCTCTTGTCAGGGGAAGAAGGCACACTGGTGTCTGCTGCAGATTATTGAAGTTCTAGTTTCTTCTCCATCCCACCCTACTGTGGTAGTAGGTTAGCCTGTACCCCAAGCAACTGTCTATATTAGACACCCCCAGCCAGTTTCTGGCTCCCTGTCTTTGCTGCCATGTTCTTTTTTACAAGAAGAAATGAAACAATTCTTGCTATTTTTTTTTTTCATAATTTACTATTTATGATGTATTTAAGTGTTTTATTCAGGACAGAGTTCTGTAAAAGGTGGGAGGGAATATTTGGGGGAGGGTATAAGGGAAAGGAATGGGGACTCAAACATTTTTATGAAGTGTTACTATTTGCCTCTACTTTGTATTGTTCAGAAATGGCAAATGCAATTTAAAAGTAATAAATATCTGGTTTTAATGTATTAAACTTTCATCAGTTATTTAAGACTTTTTTTCTTCTTTGTTGTTACTCTTGTTCTGCTTTTGTCTTTTTGATTTTGGGGGTTGAACCCAGCAACTTGAACATGCTAAGTAAGTGCTTTACCCCTGTACTATACTTCCTGCCTTTTCCTTTTTTCGTATTTGTCTGTTGCACTTTCTGTCCTTCAGGCTGTTTATGTTAACATCCATTCCAGTTTCTCTTGCTCCAACTTCATTCTAATTGGCTCTCATTACCTACTGTCCAGCCACTTCACCATAATTTAACAGAGATGTGAGTTGAAAGCTCAAAGTTTACTCGGGTTTAAGAAAGGAAGACAAGTTTGATACTGGTTGGCTATAAGTTTCCTGCTTTTCATTCTTCTGAGTGCCTGGCTGTGGGGTTATCACCAATTCATAAAGACTCCTTTCCATGAGGTTGAGTATAGGCTTTTTTTTTTTTTTTTAATGAAACTAGCAAAGAATGAGTTGTGTTTATTCTAAGATAAGGAAGCTTTAGAAAAACATGTTCACTGAACATTGTTGCTTTCCACATCACTGTTCCCTATCCTGTTAAGATCATTTTGTAAGTATGTAGGATGTAGCAGCTACGTCCGGGATAACTGAAGATCAAAAGTAATTGGCTTCAAAACATTATAATGTCCAGGGGGAAACATATACTCAAAAACATTAGAAAAAATTAGATGTGATAAGTGCTAAGGATTGAGACTTTTTCCAAGAATGGTATAAAATATAAAAGTGGAAGGAAATCAGAGGTTATTGTAGGTTGCAAGTATTGGGCAAAGTTTCCTTTCAGCACAAAGACCCAGGACCATGAGAATGGTCTGTTTTAGAGAATAAGAAAGAGATGGTGGTAAGCATAATGGGCTAAGTACTAGTGGAGACAACAGCAGAAATTGGCTGCCTGTTGGCTGAGAAACTTTCGACAGTGGAGAATCATAGAATATTTTTTAAAATGGGACACTTCAGGGCTGGAGGTGTGGTTTAATGGTAAAGTGCTTGCCTCACCTGTGTGAGGTGCTGAATTTGATCCTGCAGAACTGGAAAAAATCTTAACAATGTTCCATTGGAATAGATTAAAAAAGCATACCTGTTGAAGGGTGATGTGGATCAGGAATGATGGTCATAACAATTGGAGAGAACATGAAATGCTTCAGAGAAAAACAACTTTGTGCTAGAAAGATTGGGCTGGAAAGGGCCAGGGAGATAGGCTAGAAGCACAGTGCTTGCATGGCAAGCACAAGGTCCTGAGTTTGATTGCAAGTACCAAAAAACAAACAAAAACTGAAAGATTGAGTTGCAAGGAGAGTTGGGGATCCTTAGCTCTGATTTGGACTTTGCCACAGGCTCAGCCCTCTGGTACCAGAGATTGAACTTTAGACATTGCACTTGCCCTGCAGGTACTTAATGCTACTGAGGCTCAGCCCTCTTGTTTGTTTCTTTTGTCTTCCTTCATTGAGGCAGGATAAGAACGTCTTTTCTGTAATGGAACCTGGATCTGAATATGTTTAAGCCCAAATTGCCTTTAGTACTCTGTTGCTCCTTCATTAGGGCATTAAAACTGAGAAAGGGTTGGGTTAGATCCCCTTGTGATAAAAAGGTCCCTCTAGTGGTAGGCGGCAACAAGTGTTAATAATGCACTAGATTTTTTTTTTTTTTCCTTTGAACTGGGCTTTGAACTCAGGCCCTTGCGCTTGCCAGGCAAGCACTTATTCTACTGAGCCATCTCCCAGGCCCCCATCCACTAGATTTAGATACATAAATCACAGGATAATAAAGTTGGAGATTCTCACTTGGTCTAACTTTTTAAAATTAGGTTTATTGGTACATTTCAAGTACATAATGGTCTAATATTTTAAGTGTATCACTTTCAGTTATTGAGAAATTATTCACATGGTTTGATCCTCATTCTTTCTTTAAAATGTATTTAGGGGGCTGGTGAGATGGCTCGGTGGTCTAAAGCACCTACTTAGAACAAGCTTAGCAAAGCACAGGGACCGCGGTTCGATCCCCCAGCACCACATGCCAGCCAGCCCCCACCCCCGTGGGCTGAGCTGGCCACACACACACACACACACACAAATAAATAAATAAATTTAAAAAAAAATAAAATGTATTTAGGGGCTGGGGAGATGGTTCAGTAGAATAAGCGCTTGCCTGACAAGCGCAAAGGCCTGAGTTCAATACCCGGTTCTGAAAAAAAAAAAAAAAAGAAAAAAAAATGTATTTAGTGGGGCCAGGGAGATGGCTCAGCAGAATAAGCACTTCCCTGGCAAGTGCAAGGGCCTGAGTTTGATCCCTGGTTCCAGAAAAAAAAAAAGTGTTGCGAATACGACACACACAAAGTTCAAAAAAAATGTATTTAGTGCAGGGTCTACAGGGTCTCACTATTCAGATCAGACTCATAGTTATCCTGTTTTCAGCCTCCCAAGGCTGGGATTACAGGTGCACGCCACCATGTTCAGTCTCAACTGCCGACTCAGCGTGTCAGATGGGACTGGCATGGCCTTTATTGCCATGGGTCAAACCCCAGCCCCTGCACTTTGACTAAGCAGGCACTTTGCTGAGCTATCTGGCCGGCCTTTTTTTTTTTTCTGGGAAACAAATGTTTAATGATAAATTGCTCTTTAGGGAACTGGTTACAGAGGCCTTTGAAAACTAAGAACACAACCATGCAGCACAGATCTGAACGAGTTTCTTACCACAACTACCCTGTACTCTATAACCTTTTTCTCTCCAAAATGACCCTCATCTCACATGAAAATTGTTGCCACAGGGAAGCCAAAAATCTAGCTTTGTGGCCAAAAGGAAAAACAGCAATCTATTTGTTAACTGGTAAGAGCACAGAACCCAAAGCCCTTCACTGTGGTGTTTTAGCCTTCTTACTCTTGTTGTTCTTGTCTCTCTACTTCAGCCTGTCCATGTTAGCCCTCAGCAGGTTTGAATAGGCCATCTGAAACTTATTCACTCCTTTAGAGCTCACCACAGTGCTGATCTTCTTTTTCCCATCCGTCGCTCTCAGCAGACATTTGTAATCCGCAGGCTCACAGCCCTCCACAGAACTCTTCTTTGGGATGGATCTGGTTCGATCATCATATTTCTTCAGGGTGATGAACATGCTGCCCGATGTCCGGCACTTCTGGAAGAGCCTGGTCAGCTCGGTCAGGAACTGCTCGCTCTCCAGCAGCACCATCTTGATGAAACAGGATCCAATTCTTCAGTCCCCATTCTTTAAACAAAGATAGGCCAGTTGAAATAGATTCCAGATTAGGGGCTGGAGATATAGCTCAGCAGTCAGATTAAACAGTTAATACTTTGTTTTCCAAGGTCAAAAAAATCAGGTCATTATTAGACCTTTGAAAATCATTTTAAGGGGGCCAAGGAGATGGCTCAGTGGAATAAGCGCTTCTCTGGCGAGCGCAAGGGCCTGAGTTCAATCCCCGGTTCCACAAAAAAAAGAAAAATCATTTTAAAATTTATGACAAGTACGATGGAGCATGCCTGTAATCCTAGCTCTTGAAAATGGAGGCAGGAAGATTGTTGCGAGCTCAAGGCCAGCCTGGGCTACATAATGAGACACTTATCTCTGAAAAAATTATAAAGGATCTGCCTGCTGATTCCAGTTTCTCTTTCCCCTAATCTCCACCCCCAGCTTTATTATTATTATTATTATTATTATTAAAAAAAACTTATTAAAAAAAAAAAAACAACACTTCTTTTTTTGAGACAGTCTCAGTATGTAGTCCAGGCTGGTGGTGACTCTCAGTGCTATTCTGGTGCCAGTGTCCTGAGAGATGGGATTACAGGTGTGAACCACTAAAAAAACAAAACAAAACAAAACAGTTTTTTTTTTTAATTGTGAAAATTTCCAGAATAAAAGAGGAGTATGGTGAACAAACATTACCCTTCAACAACTATCATCATAAATGCTGTCAATCAGTTTTATCTATAAATCCCATCCTCATTTTTTTTTTTTTCTCGGAACCAGATTGAACTTCCATCCTCATTTTCTCTCTGTACCTCCAAAGGATTAAGTTAAATCCTAGGCATCATATCCTTTCTCTTCCACAAGTTCTCCAACATATGATTTAAGAGATAAATCATAATAACCCCACTCCACCAAACTGCAACGCTGAGGACCAAGTACCCAGTGCCTGTGCATGCTGGACAAGTGCTGTACAACTAAGTCCTGATAAAGACCGATACACACACACACACACACACACACACACACACACACACACACACAGAGTCCTGAAAAGGATTCAACACACTCAGTGTAATACTATTCCCAGCCTAAAAATTTAATTCCTTAATATCAAGTATCCAGTCAGTGTTTTAAAGTTGCCAAATTTTTTTTTCTTTTTTTAATAATTTTATTGAGAGCCAAATTGTTTTACAAATAGGTTTTTGATTTCGCTTTGTGGTGCTGGTTATTGAACCCAGGGGCTTGCCTGGCTCTAGGTCTCTTTTTTTGTTTTAGCGCAGTCGCTCTCTCCGGTGGCTCATTACTCCAGTTGTGGCTTTTATTCTGGCTGAGCCTACAACTCCCAGAATGCAACGAGAAGGATGGAGGCAGGACCAGCGTGCCCAGCCAAGGTCTTTGATTGGTGCACACCGCCAGGCCAATTGGAGGAACTTTTCTTAGGCAGTCACGGAACCGGTCGGGAGAGAGGAAGGCAGCAAGATGGTGTTGGAAAGTACTATGGTTTGGTGAGGAACTCCTCGGGCCCGCGGGGGCGGGACTGTGTGTGTATTTTGGGTGTGTGTGGAGGGGGGGGGGTCGCAAAGAACCAAGTCGGTCGAGCCTGGGGTGGGCACGGAGGCCCGACAGGCGAGGTGAGGCCGTGGGGCCGGGAGGGAGCAGCCAGGTCGACTCCCTGAGTCATCCTGGGGCCCGGGGCCCGGTGAGGACCCGCGCTGGTACCCCCCGTACCGGTAGCGGCCGGCAGCCATTGGCTAGCGCATCCTTGCTGT